TAGAAGATTTTTTTTTTAAACATACTGGTTTCTCATTGTCTCCTGCGGCTGAAGCTTTTTGCAAACCCAGTTCCTATTAAGCAGTTCCTGCAGAGTCCTTGAAAATGAGAATATTGAAAAAGCTAAGCTTACTGGGATGAAGGGGGAAACAGCTAACATTTTTTCAACCCCAAATACTTTTCCCTAAGTGGGAGGAATTTCAAATAAACAACAAATCTTCTAATTTCTGAGAAACAGTTTGCTTAGTGCCATCCGTGCTTGCTTCAATTACAATCACTAATTGATACATATTACCTATTCTATTATAATAGATATAATTCATATAATCTGCTTTTTGTCTACTGAGATGGTGGTATTCTACTTTGATTAGTGAATTCTGATACGTAGCCCACGTAGGACTAGAAATGCTCATTTCTTCCACTTAGGTTACGGGGCAGGTTGCAAAAGTAAGGAAAAAACCCCACGTCTTAAGATATCAGATCTATTACGGACAATGGGTGTTTTTGATACTAAAGACTCCCAGCCCATTTAGATCATTAGTAGCAAATACCTGAAGCAATTCAATAGACAAAATTAAATGTTTCCACACGTTTTCACACTAACCAAAGCTGTGCTAAACTAAACCAGCATTTCCCCCCGCTGTTTCTGAACAATCATTTCAATGCCAGCAACCTGAAAATGACTATAAAGAATAAACTGAAATTTTATTACTATCTGCTGTCCACCAGTTGTTTTATAAGTCAAGAACTGGTGCGCAATTAAAAACTAATGCTCTGCAGACAGCGCCAGCTGTTTCTGGCAACAAGAGACAACTATTTACGTGAGGATTTCAGCTGTTTCTGATGCAGAGCTATCTCCTCTTTTAAACTGCCTTTATTTTTATCAAGTAACTGTGTAAGTAAGTTGCTTACAACTATGATCAATAATGAATTACCTTTGGATTCTTTCTTTCCCATCGTAGCCAGTTACGGTGACACCACCTACAAAAATAACCTACTTGGATGTTGTGTGTCACGAACCACAAACACAACAGCCGATTCCTCTGGTTTTCCAGGTAAATGAGAACTGTTTCATGGGTTACAGATACATCTGCTGATAACCACTGCCACTAGCACCATTTAATTTCGGTTTCCAGAAGACCAGTTCCATGAGTAAAGAACAATTTTAATTAAAGGCAAACACTCAATATTTGTTTCTCCCTCCTCAGCATTTTTTAACCTTAGCTTCAAATTATTAACGGCTAAGATATCAATACTCTAAAATTACAAGACGATAAAATTTCAGTTTGGTGTCTGATTAGATGCTGTAGGCTTTAATCCTGAAATAATGATGTAAAATGCAATTGAGTCAAAATATGCCTAATGTATTTGGTCCCATGTCACAACTCTCAAAACCAGTCAATCATTCCTCTCCTTTAATTATTAAGTAATCTTCTGCTTAGCATCATCCATGTTAAGAATTACTTTTCCAAAAGAAAAAATAATTATACAGTATCAAACCAAATATATCATGGAAGTCCTGATATAGCTATATCAAAACCACAACCTTTAAGAATATGTGTGATCTTGAAAACCACCAGTCCAGTCAGTAAAAATATTCCCCATAGACCTGTGTGAATGGATCTTTTATCATGCTGCTTTAAAAGCAAAAATAAATTCCATAAACCTGTGTCAATGGACTTACATCATCCTTCTTTCACTATCAGGCAATGGGGCCCCATGTCAGCTTATTTTGCTTAAGATTGATAATTGCAAGCTGTTAGTTTGTAATTCCCTATATTGTTCCAATAAAAATTTCAGTCCGAGAATGGGAATCCCAAAACAAGCTCTCACTGGCATAAAGATGCTAGCAACTATAAACACAAACAACGAATGAGACACAAATGTTCAGCAGTGTACTTTAAAAGAAGGCCAACAAATCATTGAAGCGTTCTAAAAAATTGGTTTTCGTCCGTTACATGCTGTTGCTGCTGAGCTAAACATAAACATTTTGAAATCAAGTGATCTGGGAGGTTTAAAGATGACAAAATATTTCAGTCTTGAATTTGGCAGTCCAGATGGAGGAGTTCAGAGGTATAATGAGAATATTTCCACTGAGACACGATTTAAAAATAAGGTAGTAACAGTATAATCAGAATGTTATCTTCTTTTTATCAAGGACAGTACTAACAATTGAGTTAGTGGGTCACATGAAGTAAGTGGGGCTATTTGCAAGAATGAAAAAAAGTCCGAAGATTACAGATCAACATGAACCTTTCCAATTTAAACACTCCTAAAAGCATAAAACTGACTATTTTACAGGGCTCCATTTTGTCCTACCGTTAAGTTTCCTTCGTTATTTTCACCAAAGCACCGTTTTGAGACTTACGATTAAGACGTTAAAGAAAGCTGTTACAGTAATGAAAGACACCGAGTTCCCATTTAAAAGTGGAAACGGGTAGCCAAGTATTGAGTCAAAGAAGATGCATCTTCAGAAAATAAGATGGTCTGCCTTCTTCCTGTAAAATAAGATGGTCTGCCTTCTTCCTGTAACGAGGTTGTGATCTCAGGAGTAATGAGAATAAAGTGTGTGTATTCATCTTTAAACTGACTGCACCCAAATGACATTACAACTGGCTTTCTAAAAATTAAGAAGTCAACAGGCATTAGAGCTGTATAACATTTTTATTTTACTATATTGACATTTTATGCACAAATATTTTATCCGAGTAAAAATAGAAAATAATTGTTCCATGTAAAATTACCAAAAAAAAAATGCAAACCACAAAAGAAATACATAATTATTAGCAGAGTATAAGTGTCTTTATTTAAAGAGTAAAAAGTATGCAAAAAACCTTCCGTTTTACAAAAAATTGGGAATAGTCTTTCTATGTTTTCCTTCTGGCAGCAACAGAACAACCTTTGACAATATGTTCTACATCTTTTATTTTATCGAAGACATCAAGTTAGTCACAGATTTCTCCCTCAACTACAGAGAACGTGACAGTGATTTTACAGTTTGAAAGATTCCTTCTTTACTAATTAGAACACGGTGGAAAAGCAGATGATCCCACAACAAAGAACCCAAAGGACTATCATACCTACTGAAAAGCTGCAAAATAATAACCAGGTGTATTTACAAAGAAAATGTGGTATCAGAAGTTTCCCCTAGAGGGCTTATCATGTAACAAGAACATTCAGGGGGATAAAGTATCGATATTACATTTCGATTTTGCTGTTAGTTTATCCTCCCGCAGTCCAGTTTGATCTAGAGAGCTGATATTTTAAGCTCCTCTTCTTTTTATACTGTATTTCAACGAAAAAGGCCTCTCGTGAACTCTGCTAAATAAAACTAGTGACTTGTGTTGGACTTTGTTTAGTAACGGAGCGGTGTTATACACATAGTCGCTGCCACCGAACTACCAGCTTCATCGTATTCTGAGTAAGCAAACCTGCATCTATTTGCGTAAGTCACCTCGAACACTTGCCGACTGGTGGAATCAGACTACTGTAACAGTAATAAATGGACTGATGGCTGACCTCTCGTGACAGATGCATTTACGTATTTTGCTCAGGGCTTCAGATTTTTTTAAAAACAAAATAAAACCAGCATGCTGAGTAGATGGAGTGCTTTAAGAGCTCAAGAATGAAAGCAATATTAAGAGTTACTGGAATAATCTGGCAAAAAAAATTATAATCGTGGTGACAACGAAGAAAGCAGGCTAGAACTACATGCAAGATTTCTAGTTAAGCAAAAACTACCTGCAGATGAACATCCACCTATGAACAAAAAGCTTTGTCCTCAATGCACCTCTAAAATAAACGTGAGTCTTCGGTGTTCTTTGCCCTCTGCCTGCCAAGTGTGACCGTTCTTTTCAGATCAGGAGCAACAGTCCAGTGCTCTCGCCACTCAGTATAAGCACATTTTATGTTTAAAATCAAAAGTGCTCGTACAGTGAGATTCAAGGTTTAAGAGTAGCTTGATCCCTCACAGAATTTAAAGGTTTTCCCTTATACATTTGCGTTTTAATTGTTAAGTGTTACCAGAGGGGGTTTCACTTCTAAAAAGTTGGAAAATATGCATGGTGACATAATACTTATACTGTTTAATAACATGAAGGGGCAAAAGCAAACCCAGAATCGCAGCATTTTCAGCCATCAAAAGAAGCAGTCTAATAGGCATCAGTACAGAAGCAAAAAAGTTGCAGCCTACTTTTTACTGCACGTTTAAGTTTGCATGAAGTACTCTCCTAGCTCAGAATTCAGGATACATTCCAACTATTTCTATTCATCATCCAGACTTCAAATTGCACCCAGCTCTGGAGCATGCATTTGGCTTATGAAGCTTCAAAAACATCACTTGAAGTTCAGAAAGAAATCGATTTTAAATAAAAAATACATCTTTGTATTTTAATGTATGTCAGACTGTACAATAATTTGGAAATCAAGCTTCAGTCCTCTGTAAAACTATTTTCAACTTGCATTTTGTTTCTAAACAGGGACTACTGACTGTGATTAACTTAAGCCTTCAGTTACTAAGGTTGACTACCGTGCAGGTATAAGCACCTTGCAGAACAGAGCATTAAAAACCCCCACCAAAACAAACTACTCTTTGGGTGAGGGCTATTTTTTCAAGTTTTCAAATCACCTGATGGGGGGTGGTAGTGGGGGAAGAAGTTTGTCTTCGCTTTTTGCTAAACGGCTAGCATTAACGTCTTTCGAAACAGGTAAGTACTTGCCCTCATAGATGCATATTATCTACATATTACAATGAAATACTCATAATTGGCTTTTCACCTAAGCCAGATCGAAACCTGGATCTCCTTCTTCAGCACTGATCTTCAGTTCGGTCTAGTCTTAGTTTCCTTTGCTTATAAACACAGAAGCTGTTTTAAGAACCTGATGCTTTGTAACGTTTAATGTGTCTTTTCGGCTCTGCGTGATGAAATGAGAACAATGAACATGTTTAACTTGGAAAGCAT